AATCAAATCACAGTATGTACAAGACTTTCATTCTTAGATTTTATATGCATGTGAATGCATTGTCCATCTTCACAGTACAAAAACAAACATCACAAAAAAAATCTAACAAACAAACAAACAAAAATTTGCAAAACCGGAATTTATTTTTGCATCATCACACATATTCTAATATAAATTTCGTATAAAATACAAGAATTTAATATTTTTAGTTATATAACACGTAATTCACTTTATATTAACACGAAAATATGTTATTTATTAATTTATAGTTAATAATATTTATTTTTACATCGAATTTTGCATCCGTATTTCACTGTGAGTCGTTTTGAAAGTAAGCTTTATTATGACCTTCCAGTGTTGTCAACCTAGTGATTTTGTCTCAGTTTTTACAGCTTTTAAAATATCGGGTTAGTAACTAGTGCTTTTTTAAAAAACTTTAGTTACATTTTCGATAACTTTTTAGAACAGGAAATGTTAAACAAATGTGAATATGTATGTATGTATGTATTTGAAAGTCATATTCATATTTTGTAATTTTCTAAAAATTATGAAATATACCGATCATGGTTTTGAGTAGACCGCACTGAATGTTTTATGACATTTTAATCCTTTTTAAATAACTTTCAAAATGATCGACGGATTGGTAGTAAATGAGCGATATATACATTGGGGTGGCCCCGTTTGTATGGAGAAGAAATAATGTAATGATGTTCCCACCAGCATATGAATGCTTGGTTCATTCTAAGAAATAATTTCTAAACATTTTTGACGTAAAGTCAATATTTGGTGAGCTGATTCAAAAGATAACAAGTTTATTATTTAAAGTTTTAAGTCATCGTCATCTAAAATGCAAAATAACGTATCATTTTGAAAATTTTAGAGATGAGAGGGAAAATAAGCCGATAAATTAACTGCTTTATGCAAAAACGATTATTAAGTTAACAATTATTCGTAATTCAGCTCTGGGTGGATAAAGACCTTCGAGGAGTACCAAACAAAACTTATTTAAGATTTTTGTGGAGATCTGTAAACTCAGGAGCGGAGTTCCAGAAGGTATAGTTCGGATTGGCAGTTCTTGGACGAGCCTCTTTTAGGCGAAAGTCGTAATTAGTGATGGCGTTATGAATATTTCGAGGCCAAATAATACCTTCTTAGTGGTATCATATTGTTAAGGGAGCAACTTAAAATTAAAACAAACAAACAATAAGTTAACAATGGTTATTAAAACCTGTTTTTATGTGGAAAAAGTGTGTAGTAAACCATTGTTAGCTTTAATAATCGTTTTTGCATAAGGCCGTAAAACTTTAACGGTTTTTCTCGTATTTATTGTTAAAACAAGATGTCAAATGGTTTTCAGTACTAAGGCTTTGTTTTATTACTTTTTTTAAAGCAAACTAATATTGGAATAAAAGCTTTCTTAATGATACGCTGTTATGTATTTCAGATGACGATATGTATACACATATGTTGCAAACAGATTTGCAAATGTACAAGATATAAATAATTGTAGACCGTTAAGCAAAAGTATATTTGGAAAATCAGTCAATAGCCTCTTTAAGAAAAGTTGCTCGACTGATCTTGTCTTGTGGAGAACCTTTGCTAGTGTATAGTTAAGAGATTGTTGTCCAAATCTCAGTTGCAGTTTCCATTTTTCGGATGATGTCATTAGATATCAAGTAATAAATTTATATTTTAGCTTAATTTTGATATCGAAATGTTTTTTCGTTACGAAAGCTTTTTCGACGACGTATGCGGTAAATCGGTATACATATTTCTAATAACCCTTGAAAAATTAAATAATTTCATCTTTCCATCAAATTCGTTTTTATTCATTTATAAATTTTTAAAATGCAGTTTTTTTAATTCCTTGAAATATTACTTTTTTGAGAACTAAAAACAATAGATAAACAATAAATTATATTGGACTTAAAAATAAATTTCGAAACAAGTTTTGGAGTTTTTTTTTTAATTGAACACTGTATTAGTAATTAAGGCAATCAATACAAATTAAATGTAAATAAAGTTTATTTAAAATTTCTTGTTTTTGTTCAGCTCAAACTTCAAAATTAATTCAAACAAAAAAAATACGAAACCAATACTAATCTTAAAAAAAGAATTTGCGTTGTTTTCCTCTTTGTGTGTGTTTGAGAGCTTTGTTTTGAAAATTTTGTATTTTGTTGTTGTTGTTGCAGCAGATTTTTCAAGTCTTATTTAATTTAAAAAGTATAACTAATGGGACACACTATTCACGATGCAGTAAAACAAAAATGGCTAAAATCGATAAAATCGCCCACTGTGAAATAGAGAAAGAAATTAATTTCACATTTAAGCATAAGGTAAATTAACTAAGACAACATACCTTAACTTTAGGATATTCATTCATAAATATTGTTATAATGCCAACATAGGGCAAGAACCCTCTGGCACGGCCCACAATATCCTTTTTCGTCAACCACAACTGGCCGGGAGCATATAAACCTCTGTCGTCTACATTGTTATTATCACCTTTAGTTAAAAATTTAACGGAACCGTCTTCCCTATAAGGTAAAATAAAACATATGTTATTTGTACTATACTAGAGATACTAGCTACATACTTTTCATGTAATTTAATAACACGATGCACAATGGGTATGTCTCTACCCTCTACTTTGAAGACAACAATTTCACCTACACGTACTGGTTCCTCTTTGTAGTTGGTAAGGAACAAGAGATCACCCCTATGGAATGCGGGTTCCATACTGCCACTCAAAACCACCACAATGGGTGATTCACTGCCAGTTACCACCATTAACCCCTTCCAGATCATCAAGGCGGATGAAACAATCATGGCAAAACTCAAGAATTGATACAGTGACTAAAAAAAGGACCACAAAGTATAAATAGAAATGTGCATCATTTTTTGACGTGACCAGTTCTAGTGCATACGTGTAGCACTTGTATGCGGTAAACATTTTTCATTATATCTCGTTGACATGTTTTTCTATTTTTCATTAGGTTCGTGTATGTGTGTGCAAGCCACTTTTTCGTTTGAGCTTTCCCAAACACTTACCTGACGTTTATTCATACGCTTGAAGTCCTGCACCATTTCATCGATTTGCAGTGTCTCAGCTAAACCCATTTTGTTGTTTGTTTATTAATGAAATACTGCCCTGAAAATGTTAAATTTATTTGAGAAACTATCCAATTTTTTCCTGGCTTTTTGCAAAATTTTCTGACTTGTAAAAAGCCGCTTGTTTTTATACCACGTCAACTGACAGTGTTGCCAGAGAACTGCGCGGACGAGTATTAAAAACGACGTTGGCTGACACTAAAAATTTAGGCAGCGGCTCAAAATCGGTTTTAATCAGCCTAAGTTTTTAGCTGTTTTAATTTTTTAACGACAATTGCGGGATCTGAAAGGTTAAAAATCTAAAATTTTGAAGAAAATATTTTGAAATTCAAAACTTATTATAAAAAAGCAATATTCTTTGGTTATAATATGTTTAAAATCATATTCTAAATTTTTAGTGTCTACACCACAGCTATGGTCTAAACCAGTGTACCCTGGTCTAAACCATGATACAAATAATAGATATTTGAAATTTTATTTTTTTTTTGTAAAAAAATAAAATAAAGAAAATTAGTAAAATTTTTTGTTGCACAAACATGATGGTCATCAAGACCATCGAATAGAAAAATTGTATAGGTAGTATGAATAACTACCTATAGATTGGACAGTGCAAAAAAATGTGACTTTCGTATTATTGGAAATTCGTATTTAAGAGCATTCGTACTACTGTGCGTCCACTGTTTTGCGGATATTTTAATTTTCGGCGGCGGTGGCATTTGAATTTTTCTTCGACAGGTAGACTTACAGTGTTACCACCGGATATAAATATATTTATTCTGGCCTACGATACATAGTAGCGCAAGTCACAATAGCGTTAGCCAGCAAACAATTTTATATGGAGAACAAATAATACTTTACTTGTAAAAATCAAACGGTTAAAAGATGGCAAATCAAGGTCTCTAGCACATGGAAGTGACGATTTTACGTCATTGTACTGATATTTTTCGTTTAACTAAAAAACAAAATTTTGCAAACAAGGCCACATTTAAGATTATTATTTTTTTGTGTTTATTTATAACGACTACTTAATAACCACTTTGAAAATATAGCATTCTTACATCGATTTTAAGCCGCCGCCGATATTTTTAGTGTCAGCCGCGGCCCTTAATATTTGTCGGCGCAGGGCTCTGAGGCCCAATGTGGTTTCAGATTTTTTAAGAAAAATTTATATTTATAATAAAAATCAAACAAAAAATGGGTGATACTAAATTATTAGATACAAATCAAATAGTTAATGGATTAGCTGTTCTATTATCATTTTTTGTGGGTTATAAATATGCCCTTAAAAGGCATGATATTAAAGAGAATGAAGCCGGTAAAAAATTAGAAGAACAGGGAGCAGCAGGATCCAGTGAAACAAAGGATGAACCGGTAAGTTATTTAATTATATTTGTATAAAGAAAGACACTTAAAAATAAATACTTTTTCAGCTTTATACAAGTTTTAGTTTCAACTATAAAATGGTACTTGTGGTACGTAATGATCTTAAGATGGGAAAGGGTAAAGTTGCTGCCCAATGTGGTCATGGTGCTGTAGGTGCCTATCAAAAGGCTGTACGTAAAATGCCCAGTGTTGTAAGGGCTTGGGAGAATTCAGGCTGTGCTAAAATTGCTTTAAGAGTGGAGAGTGAAGCTGAAATGATGGCTATAAAAAGAGCAGCTGAAGCTAGAAACCTAAATACCTGTTTGATTCGTGATGCCGGTCGCACACAGATTGAACCTAATTCCAAGACTGTTTTGGCCATTGGCCCAGCTGCTGTTGAAGCTATCGATCAAGTAACCGGACATCTTAAACTTTTGTAAAAAAAAATTGCATACCTATTTTACGATAATTTTCGTATTCTATTTTAAGTTTAGAATTAGAGAAGTAGATTTTTTTATTTAAGATTTTTCTAAAAGTTTTCAATGCAATTAAAAACAGAAAGTTGATTTAAAAGTATCAAATATCTTGGAGTAAACTTTATTCGAAAATTTTCAATAGAAATGTGATATTTATTGAATATTGTTTCTTTTGAATTCAGTTGGATTAAAATCTATTGAATTGAAGGTTGAATCATTATTTATATTAACCATTATCGTTAAAATCTCTAACGCCCTCACATTCACTGATATTTTTATTGATGTTGCAAAATACATAAACAAATTTTAGAGAATATACTTGAATAAGATTACATTACTGTCCCTATAAAGACACGTTGTTTCAACTTTTATATGGAATATATCTATAAAATCTGAATCGCCTTGACTACCACTGGTAGTCCTTTGTTACAGAACTCAGTTGCAGGTCTGATTTTGAACTCAAATTTTAAAATTATACACGTCACAGATTTCTATTCGGATCGAGTGGGGAATTAATAAGTTTTTGTGTTTTGTTTCTTTAGATAAAGCAAAAAAGGTATAATTAAATGTTAATTCATATACAAAATCGGAATCACAATTTTACTTAAAAAGGGATTGTAGTAAAATAATTCCGTAGTATTGGTTGGCAGTGTAATAATAAGATTAATTTTTTAAAATTTAATACATACTTTGAAACTTTTAATAAAAAAAGGGAATCAAATCTTTTACAAAATTAAAGCATACTTTATTTACTTTACAAAAACCATCTTACAAAGTTGTGAAAAAATTCATCTCTTAAAATCTTAACCAGTCATCATCATTATTATCATCATGATGGGATTGATTTTGGGACTGGTGATGTTGCTGCTGTTGTTGTTGTTGTTGTTGGTATTCATCTTTTGCAGCATCAATATTATCATATGGCTGAATCGGTAATTGTTCTTGTTGTTGTTGCATTTCCATATCAATCATAGATTGCTGCATATGTTGCTGCTGTTGTTGTTGCTGTTGATCTTGTTCATCATCCATTTGATCATTGAAAATTTCTCTTTTAACACGTACATTACCATCATCCTCTTCGTCACTTTCTGAAATGGCCAAATCATCATCTATGCCCATATTATCATTTGAGCCCATCATTAAGGGCATTTGATTTGTTGTTGGAATATTTTCATTTTGGGCTTCATCGTGTTGCAGATATTGGGACATTTTATTATCTTGCTGCTGTTGATTATTATCATTATTACTGCCTATACGATTGTGCATTGTTAGGAAATCTGATGGATCGTAGTTAGGATCCAAATCCATGGAGTCATCTGAAAGTATGGAAATACATTAGAATTTCACCAATGTTTTTTTAAGTTTTGGGTAAAAAAAGCCTTTTTATGAAAATGGAATCGTTGATTGCAAAATATTTATTTATATTTTATTATCGTTTGTGATGATAAATTTAATTTTTTTTATAAAAATTTAATTTTTGACGAAATTATTTTTTACAGATAAAATATGATGAAAATTTAAATTTTTTGTAAAAATTATATTTAAAAAAAAACGAAGTCTAGTTTTAATGAAAAATTGACTTTTTGATAAAATTAGCATAGAAAGCATGTAAGTAACTTATACTTACCTCCACCCATTTGAGGCGGTTCAATTTTCATTTCCATCTTAATATTAGCAGCATCTATAAGATCAGAACCACCTTCACTGCCGCCAGCATTTGACATTGAATGAACACGTTCACTTTGATCCAAGTAACTTGCGGGATTATTTTCATCTTCTGAGACTTCCTGGAAGCCATCTTCATCATCGTCCGTAGAACATTGCAGATCTAGAGGTAAAAGGGTAAACAATTTACAAGTAGAATAATGAGGTAAATTAAATAAAAAAAAAAACTTTACAAAACATTTATAAAAAATTGATATAAAATGTTAATGAGGTACAAATGTATAATTTAAAATTTGTTTTTCTTTTTAGAAAAAAAAATATATATACAGTAGAGTATAAAAATATTTCAAAATACTATGCTCTATGTAACACAACATTTATTACGACACAATTTCAAAAACTAAAATTGTTCAAAATAAACAAATTTCTGAAATAATTTTAATTCAAAAATTAAAATTTAATTTAATTGATAATATGGTTGTATCATGATTTAATTCAAAAATTAATAAAAAGGACCAAAAGAGTAAGATTTCTAAAAAAGCTTAAATAAACACAAAAATTGTATATAACATGATGATTGTATGAATTAGTAAAGCGTAATAGATATAATAAACAATTAACAACAGATTATTAAAAAAAGTGTGAAAAAGTTTAAAGAAAGTGCTAAATTATGTCAAATTGAAGAAAAAAATAAAAAAAGTTGATTTTTTCTACAATTAAGAAAAAGTTTGGGTATTATTAGTGAACATATTGTGTGTGTGTGTTTTTGAGTGTAAAGTTAGAATTGTTGCATTTGATTTAATTATTAATTAAGCATTAGATTAGAATTTGTTTTTGTTTTGTTTTGAATTATTTGCAAATAGTAGTAGTAGTAGTAGCAGTAGTTATTAGTCTTACCTTCTTCCAGAAAGGAGGAATTATGTGGGTTACTTATATTTGAGGCTAGGCTGTCCTTACGGGGACGACCACGACCACGTTTAACAGCATTCGGATTAAATTTGACTAAAAGTATAGAAATTGTAACGCATTTTTGGTTTGGTTTCGTTTGGCTTGTTGTTGTTGTTTCGTTTCTCATTTTTATGTGAGATTTTAAACGTTTTATTTTGTTTTATTTGGGGTTTTTTTCAGGAAGGAATAAATTAAAAGAAAATTTGTTTTAAAATTTTTTAATATTACAACAAAAACAACAAAAAAATTAAATTGAACAGAAAAATTAAAAGAAAAAACACAAAAATTATAATTAAATAATTGTATTAAAAAAAAAAGAAGAAATATCAATTTACAACATTTAATCATGATGTGACGACGGCACAAAATTTGTTTTCTTTTGAAAATAAACTTTTATATGATTGAAAACAAAATATTTTTTTTTCCAAAAATTGCTTAAATTTTTGCTTATGTGGAATTTTTAAAACTGTTGACGACACGAGGCTTTGAAGGTATTATTTTATAATTTTTATTTGCAAACATTTAGTGCGACGGTTTTGAAGATTTGTTTATTTGGCATTATTTACTTGATATTTTTCACTTTAATTTGGAAAATTTGAAATGTTCGTTAAACTTGCGCCAACTCAAGAATCTTAAAAATTGGTATGAAATTTATTTCGGACATTTTCTTTTGAATATTTTAGCAGAATTTATTATTGTATTGTTTATATGTCTTTGTTTTCATATTTGCACAGGAAAGTAAAATTTTAGCAGCAAGGAAGACCATTAAAATGTTCCAAGTACATATGTACATACATTGAGGGTTTATATAAATTAAAATTTATGCTAATTTATCTACCCTTCATTTGTTATTAATTTTGAGTTTTAAATAACTTCAAAACCTTCCCACATAAATTCGCTTAGATTAAAGAACAATATGTAATTAATGGAAAATATTATTTGCTAAAAAAATTTGGCAAGTGTTGGTGTTTTTTTAATGGTTGATTGTTAGAAGAAATTTAAAATAAACAATAAAATATAGGTTAAGTTCAAACCTACATAAAATGATGATTAGTTTTTTTGATTTTGTAAAAAAATAAACGTAAAATAATAAAGAAAAAATAAATAATAAAAACAAAAACTATAAAATATACCGCAACCCATAAATAGTAAAGAATTTTTTAAATAAAATAAAAAATAAAGATCTGTATAGTAAGCAGCAATAAAATTAAAAATGAAAAAGATAAGAAAATCAATATATAAAATCTATGTTTATTAAATGAAAATTCGAAACGACTTGGCCTTAGCAAATTTATTATACTCTTCACTCGTTTTGTGTACCAGTACTTGTTGCAATTTTAAAAATATTATTACAATATCATTGCGAACAATAAGAGAAAATTTATTAATTTATTTAATAGTTTCTTCTTTATAAAAGCTATTTTTATTGAATTAGACTACATATAATACAAAGAATTTATTTAAAAAAAATATATTACTACTGATTGATGTTCTTAATATGAACTTTTCAAAAACTATCAATCGTCTTAAATAACTGTATGCAAAAATACGAACTTTAATTTTAAATTAAAGAAAAAATCCTTACTTAAATCAGGATTGATTCATATTTATTACACATGGTGAAGGGTATAAAAAGCCGTTAATTTGAAGCATTTTATTAAAATAATTAAAAAAAAACACATTTCACTTCCATTCTAGTAAATGAAAAGCAAAAGACATACAAACTTACCCTCTTCCACTGTATCACGATGTTTGCGAGGTCGTCCACGACCACGTTTAATATCTACTGGTGGAGCCATATCTGGTGTTTGTGCTGTGGCAGGTTGTCCGGTTGTCAGTGATATATGACCACCAATGCCCCGTTGGAAGGAAGCGGCGGTTGAGGTTGATGGTCTCTCATTGCCCTCAACATCAATAAAATCATTTTCGGGAGTACTAGAACGACTTGTACGCATGTAATCATAGTCTTGATCATCGCCACCCCAGGTATCATCAAGTTCGGCATCAGCGCGTGCACGCTCTTGTACCTTAGCTATATTCTGTTCTAATTGTGTGCAATGTTCAGCAAACTATAAAAATATTAAAGCGATTTAATTTTTTATAATTAAAACTTTTCATATAAAACTATTAAATTTATAAAATATAAAAAACATTCTACACACCTCATCTAATTGTGATCTAGCATATTCTAAAATATGTTTTGCATTTTTCGTAAAACGAGATTCACTGCCATTGTATTGTTCACAATTTGTAGCAATTAATTCAATGTCTGCCAAAAACTCGGCACGTGAATGATAGCGGTGAGCTATTGAATATTAAATAAAAATTTAAAAACATTTACATTTGTATAATCAATTTTCAACGTAGCCTCACCTTCAACATTTTTACCAATACTTTCCAAATCCATGGGTTTCTTTATAATCGTATAATAGTCTTTGACTTGTTTCTTGTTGACCGGTTTAAGGAAAGGCCAACTTTCTTGCATAAGTTTAATTTTGCCATGCAGTTTTTCGAATATAAATGATAAAGCCACCTGATCGTCATCATC